CTAGTAGTAAGTCAATTTGACGATCATAGAGAATATTTCTTAAGACAAAGTATTAAGCAACAGTTAATAATGTTGGATTTAAAGACGAAGGCCATGGATAAAAGTCCAAGAGGATGTGATGTTAAGTTACGTCGCAATCTTCTTTAGCTGACCTGAGTTGGTGTAACTTAATTTTCGTGATTTTCTTTGGACGACAAGGAGACCTTGTGTAGCGTTCCTGCCACTGCGTCATTTAATATAGTATTTATGATAATTTCCAGCCTCGGATCGCTGTCTGGGTATATTTACGAAGGCATTAAGTTAATAGGGTCATCTTCGAATTCTAGAATGAAGAGCAGATACAATTCCCTCCCCACACCAGCATTACTTCTCACATATATATTTCGATTATTTATAATACACTTTAGGTCAAGTATTGCGATTCCATTCGTTTAGGTCTTAATTATTCTGAGTTTTCAGCAGCAAAAGGATATGTTTAAAAAATGTCTCTTTTAAAGTCGCTAGACGATTTAAGAGAGAAATGTGACAAATTGTAGCTTGTTGCTAGGACTGGTGAAGCTCACTGACAACGTTGACGAGAAGACCGAAGAAAGGTCTAGGAATGTATTAGGCCAACTGCCTGATGGTATAAATTAACATGACTGCTATGACATGAGATGTATGATTTGGTACATTTTATCATAGCCTAGACGGAAGAATTATGATGGCGACGATGCTGAGGAAGCTGTATTTCATCAGCATTGTCTCCAAAGCAGTGTTGTATTGAGAGATGTAGCTTGAACTGTTGTGTTTAGAACGAGTAGACTGAAGACACTGTGCGAAGTATCAGGGAGCAGCAAAGCATGGGGGAGAGAGGGCGACACCACATTGAGGCCACATCTTCACATGCCATTCTCGGATTGTCACGACTACTTCCGTTGTCGGCCTCAACACCAAAACTGGCCAGTTATTTGCAAGCCTACCCTTCGCAAATTCTTCTTCTTTATTGAGCCTCGTTGACGGTGTCAATATGTTTGACTATTTATAATTTATTCAAAGCACTATAGAGTCGTGAATGAATAGAAAGAAAATAATTAATTCAGCCTTTTGTGCTGTTTTCATTTAGGTTCAACGATAAATCAGGACGTGTTAATCAATCATCAAAGTTCCTTCTGTCAGCAATTAGGCTCTGTTGAAATGAATGAAATCTTTCGGTGACTTTATGAAATTGCTGAAGCAATGGCAGTAGTGGAGTAATGAATCCATCATCATTATTTATTATTAAGGACTGATGCTAGAGCTGAGGCCCGCCCCATCCCTTCCCATCTCATCCGGGAACTCCAAGCAATTGGGGGCATTTGGTTTTGGGTTCGAGTCCCGCCAAGCGTGGACCTGCATAAGTTCAGGCTGAATGAGATGTGGAGAAGTTTTGGAAATGCTCAAAACGAGTGGTATTGACCCTTTTGAGACGAACTGATAACTTCCACTCTCGTTGGCACACTTCTCACCACACATAGTTTGCATTAGAAGAACGACGCCAATCATCAAAAAGGGTCGTGTTCAGACGATCCGTCCTCCTTTCGGCCGGGCTTTCAACAACCCCAGGTTGACTAAAATACTGACTTTGTTCTGCCTCACCCCTCACGGGTTGAAAGACTTTCTGCTCTCTTCTGTCCTCTCTTGCTGAAATGGACGATAGTGTGATTTATAGGCCGATTACGAGGGCCAAGGAGGATCACTTGCTTGGACCGATCACAAACGAACTTGTCTGCAGTGGCCTTTGAATGATGGAAAGGAAACAGCTCCTTTCAGCTCGTCAGAAATCTCCCATACCACATTGTTGCGGCCCCTGTTAAATCGAGCCGACTGAGGCAGATGGGCACATGCAGTCGCCAGAGCGACATCCCGAGCTCGTTCTGTGCACATTTGCAATCTTGCCGCCTGACTTGTTGACACTTTCATGTAATCGCCCTTCTCCACACGCGGCTCACACCCTCTAAACACCTTTTCTGTGTGGCCGAATCCTTCGTTCGGCTAATTGTTTCTGTCTCCACCGTCAGGCGTCATGGAGCCTAGTGACTCGGTGATTATCAGAATTTATCGACTTGCCAGGCCTGCTCTGCAGTCGTATGATTCCGCGAGCACTCTCAGCAATTCACACACAGTGATGAGCAGAGAAAGGTACAGAGATAAATATAGGAGGGAGAGAGGGAGGAGGGGGTGCGAGATGTCTGTGGAGGGCAGATGAATAGAAGAATGTTTGGGGACGCGGGGGTTAACGACGATGGTTGGGGCAGCAGATTCAATTATCTTCTTGTTTCTGCTTCGTATCCTCTTTTTATCATCGCTTTAACCTCTTTTATGCTGCTTATCTGTACCGGTCGTGGTCACTTCCATACGGAAGCAGTCGACACTCAATGATGTGCATGTGGAGTGTATGTTTACACAGTCCTGATTGCCCCACTCTCCAAGTCCCTTGCCTTATCTGGCCGGGCCACACACACGGCCAAAGTGATCATGACACACTGGGCCCATTTACTGTCCCTTTTGCCTCTCAGGTCAAGACACACATACACACACACACACACATACAGACATGAACATACCGACACAGATGTCCAGAAACGACCAAACCGCACCGTAACGCACTATTCCACACGACTCCGCACCACATCACAACACACCACAGCACACAATGCATACACATGTAGGCATGGGAATGAGTGGATCGATGGTACAAGGGCAGGGGTTGGCTCATGCAATGCACGAACAACAAATAATCTAATCACCTGGGTAAATAAGGACAAGTAACTGTCATTGTGACATCCAGTGACGGCGCTGCCGAGGCCTAGGCGGGGACGAGAATGTCGTCAGGTTGGATTAGAAAAACACTCTTGGGATGGAAAGTACAGTCGAATTCACAGGAAAAGTCAACTTTATGAATCTTTATTATGTTGCGTCGGCTGACGCTCTAGACCAACCGGAAAGTGCATTGGAAGTTTTGCTGCCTAGAAGATAACTGGAGCAAAGGTCATACTCACTGTATGGGCTTAAGACTAATCTGGAAATGAAGGGTTTTGATGAAATTTTGACTCGAGTGAAATAAGCTTGCTCAGATCGCAATTGACTTACATCAAAGGTGTGATGATCAAGATGGTGGGGCATTTATTTTGGCCGCAGGCTTCTTAAGATGTGAAGGTATGATTTGATTGCGATTTCCACACATTGTCGGTGAATCTTGTCCATAGAGGACATTATCATTTCTAGCATGGATTTGCGGATTTTTCACACTTCCCGAAGATGTTGACATACTTTTCATTTAGTTTGAAAAGTCGGCTCCCACCTTTATTGGTCGGGTGTTTTGGTGATTTTTTTGCAAAATGACCGTTTCTGGGTCGGATGATGTGAATCACATGAAAGGCATAGGCTCAGCAAGGATTCCTCGAGACGACAGGACGATGAGTCGAGGTCTCGTTTGCACAATCAGGGAGTCACAATTCCAATGAAATCCTTATTCGGTTTGCGAAGAGGCTAATCTATGAAATCCTGCCACCCCCCCTTTCATATGAGTTTAAAGATATACCAACATCGTTCTTTCAAGGACGTCCTTCATACCACTTAGTCGGTCTTTTTAGTGAATCTTGCCGGTTTTAGCAAAGGTTGCAACTCTTAAAAGTTGAGTTTCGAGAAATTGGTTGTTTCATAATTGTTGAGTTTACTTCCATTTCGAGTGAAAGTGTTTGTTGAAGGGACTCGATGATCGATGCCATCAGAAAACTAGGGCAGACTCTCTTGACCAGCTTTACTGGAACATTCTCAATGGCGCTGTTTCCGAGGCAATCTCCTTCGATTCCAGTGAAAACGTGCTAGGCTTTCGTCCACCGGCTCATGCCTAAAATACTGTAGATATGGTCTATATCTAAGCTCTTTGATGAGGTCACTTCTCTGAACCCTGAGCCCACTATTTCTCTCTCACATAAAGACAAAAAAGCAATCGGATTGATGGTTAAAATATATACAGAGAGGGCATGTTGGTGTTTATCAAAATCTTGATGATCGAGAATAGACGTCACTTCGAACCATCACTGCTGGTGTCGGAAATATACGAACACCTGCAGACGCATACACATACAGACACAGACACAGGAACTAACCAAATCCATTTGTACCTCATCAAAGAGCCCAGCTCTAAACTATATATATACAGCATTAAGAGTGAGCTTTCTCGAATTGTTGACTTGGAGATGGTCGTTAGGATGATACTCTGCTCTGATGATGTAGGTCATGTGACACACGAAGGCTTAGAACCTTTTCACCGGAATCAACGAGATTGCCTCGGAAACAGCGTCTGCATGAATGTTCCAGTAAAGCCGATCGACAGCTGGTCAAGAGAATCCGCCGTCGTCTTCTGGTGGAACCGACCTTCGAATCTCTTCACGCAACACTTTCACTCGAAATGGAAGCAAGCTCAACAATTATGAAACAAGAGATTCCTCGAAACCCAACTTTAATTCACACTATTTTTATCTCTCAATTTATCTCAAGTTCTCCTTTCTTTTTTGAAAGAAGGCATGACGGCAAAACCAGGCCATGAGAAAAGGTTTCCTCTTGCCTAACTTTGACTAATAAGTCTCCGTCTGAATATTTATTCCTTATTAATAAGATATTCTTAATAATTAGGCTCAAAAGTTAATTGATACTGGCATACCTTTCATTCATTAGACCAATCTACGAACTGAATGGTACGTCAGTATCAATCTATTAAGGGATTCGTTGAATCTCAGCTTCTCTTCATACAAATGGATAATTATATTTCAGCTGTTCCAACTCCTTAGTCAAATTGTTGCTATCCGCTAGTCTCATACTCCAAATAATCATTTATTTCAAAATTTCACTCTTACTTTTGCAACTATGGTTGAAAATGAAATTCACAAGAGTCAATATACGTTGGCTTCCTACAAACATCTCTTCCTAATTTACCATTTTCTCTAATGATCAGAGCATCCTCTTCTATTTCCATCGTGAACTTAATATTCCTTTGACTTTGCTTAAGTGAAAGTGGGAAATCTATGTCATTCATGTATCTAACCCACAATTTAGCAGTTAGTATTTCCTGT